GATCAACTGACAATTCATGCGGACAAAGTGAATATACAGTAATATCGAGTATCATTTTGAGTTTCGATTCGAATCTTATTACTGTGTACGTGTATAGAGTGAATAAGATTTCAAGATCAGTGGAGAATTCGGAACAAATAAGAACAATAATAATGATAAAATAAAGATGACGTTCATTACGAACAGCTATAATAACCGATAACACTTGAAAATATCAGCATCAATAATTCGTAAACCTCATAAAACCATACGAATTATATACAAATCATTGAATATAATAATGCCTTACTGAAAAGAGAACCGAAATTCCATAGTTGAAGTACTCAGTAATTGTATCAGTTTGACTGAATTACATTACTTGCACTGCGAATGGATACTATTCTTTTTCTGAATGCAATATGGTGTGCTCGTATTTTTCATTCTCTTGTTAACCTTATCATAAATTAATAAATATGGCCAATTTATGAACTTAGAAGGTATCATGTTTGAGTTCCTCTCTATTAAAGATGTAGTCTCGAAGGGAAAAGCTTAAAAATCTGAAACCTACAAAAATTTCAGTTTCAAGAAGCCGATCACGAGCAAAACACAATGTCGCACACCTGCTGGATGAAATAGCTGAGTAAACGGTATCTATAGTATTAGCTACTAATTGCAGCAAATTTCTGAAAAAGCTAGCTCCCTATGTTATGTTCACAAGAAAATTCGAGAGAAAAATAATTCAGATATTGTTATTGCGAAAAGATTGAACTTTGCGAACGAGTCGTATGTGCTCACAACGATCCTTCCAATGCCACTTACAGGGAACATTGAAAGACTTCGTCAGATTCTTATCCAGACAACACGCACACGATCCTTTAACGTATGGTGTTAGCGATAGCAATCGCATGAATTCAGACCAAACTTTGACTTGATCCGTTGGCATCTCATCATTCACCTCAATTAAATCATTCAGGAACGTCCAGCAGAAGTCTTCAGCTATGTAACGCATATTCTGCGAGTTCACAACAGCGCATGCATTGGTTTGTGCGCATTGCAGCAAACGGCTATAGATTTGAGCCTGAAATACGATGGCGTTCGATCACTGCAGGAAAAAAATTTGATAGTTATTCAGAATTTTCTGTCAGCATTTCAAAAGAATTTTGAGTCATATTCATCAGTTCGGTCTCAAAAGTTCCGCTCATAGCTTACGATAAATAATCCTGAATCTGAGCATAGTTGATCACTCTGCATTACGCATTTTATTTACTTTTAGACGAAAAATTGATTGAAGGAACCTTTGACCGAATGAATACGCGAATCAGTGAATCATTAATCAAATAAATGAGAATCTCAGGCTCATGACGATCCTTCGCTGTTTTATGTGTATTAAAATGAACCCATCCCAAGCATAAGGAATGAATTCAGTGATTTTTTTCTCTGTGCACAAACCTCATAAACGACGACAGCGTATGTCTTTCGATGAGGGTCAACCACCACCATGCCGTTGTGCTTCAGTGCAAAAGTCTCCTCTTTTGCAGTAAACAGAATCTGTTTTGCCTCTTTGACTTGATCTGTTTGCAGCTCCAATGGTATAACCAGCGATGAGGTCTAAAAATCGTCCCGATTTAACACTGTTTTGAAATATTCACTTATGTTTTGTATTCTTTCCACTTTTTTTGGAAATACTTTTATGGTGATCAATTTGAAATTCTGCCTGCAACAGATTGGTCATCTATTACAATTCTATTCGTCGAGCGATTGAATGGAAATGTGGAAAAAATTGTTATAGTGATAGCATTGAGAACTATTGAAAATGAGCTGTGATGAAAACTTAATTGATAACAAAATCTGAAACATTCTTTTATTGGAGAACATTCATATTTTTAACTGATTTGAAAGAACTTAATGGTGAAAGAAAAGGCAAAAAATTTACATTATTCGCTTTTTTGGCCGCAACAATGGTTTCTTGTTTCAGAAGTACTCCGTCTGGTTGGTATGCGACTCGAACGAGTGGAACACCGGGTTCAGTGAAATACTGGTTGAAGAATTGACCTGAAGTGAAGAATGTTCATTAGCAACTCTCACTTTAATGGATGATTTGTTACTGAATGAGAATTTGAAAGAAAATCCCAATTAATGTGAATAGAAAATTTTTTATGCTTACAATCAAAAGTTCAAAAAATGTAAGGTTCAAATTACTGTGTCTTCGTGATTTAATTATGACATAAGGCCTCGAGAAGCATACACAAAAATGTCGTGATATTCTATTTTGAACTGACCTGCCAATTTGTTCTGTGCAGCTTCAACAATCAAATCGTGCCATTCTACCACACCCGCATTGCCATAAGCGTATTTTTGAATCAGCAAACTGAAGATTCGCTTTATTTTTCACTGATAATTTCGCTGATAATTTCACTGATAATTTCGGAAATTATTACGACGTCACGTTTTGCTGTGTGGTTTCTACTGAATTGTTACAGAAGTTGCTTCTTCAAAGTACATCAATACCAATCAATCGCTCAGTGAAACTAACTGTGAAAACTTCTTGACCACGTCTTCTCCAAAACCACTTTGCAGCATTACGAAGAAAATTGCTGGCTTGTCGAAACAACGAAATATCTGAAAGTTTCAATACTTTTTTCTCGCTCAAAATTATCATCAGAACATTTCAATTTGAAAATTTGAATCATTCCAGCAATGAGGTCGATGAATTTCGCAAAATTCCACTCAATAACACAGGATTTACAAGCTGGAAATACTCCATTGAGAACCAGTCAAGCCAGTGGCAAACATTATAGTATTAACCGAATTGACTCCAGTACTATCAGTGAATTAATTTAATGAGAGGATCTCAGTGATGAATAACAATAACATTACTTACATCTTCGTATGTTCGGAAATCAGAAATAATAGCTTCCGAACTCTTCGTATCTCTCGCGATCGCTTCAATCATTTTGTCAGCGAATGACTCCGAGATATTTGTCGTATTGTCGAGTTCGGCGGTTATTAACGATTCCAAATATGTTGTCAAACCTTCCTGAATTCAAAAGCTTCTTCATCATAAAGTTCAACCTTACTGTATGATTACAAGTCAAATTATTGTCATTCTTCGGTACACCGGATTTCACTGAAATCGGACCACTATAAGAAGTTATGGAGTGATATATAAGGGTGTGACACCTAACACAGCAAGGAGAGAACAAAATTCTTCTCTATGAGAATGAAATTTGATATTATTATGACGAGACGATATTAATACTAACAATAATAACAGTGGTGATAATATCTCAAATGTGGTTTTGTCAATCAAAACGATGCTATTGGTACACCACTCAGTCTCGAGCAAAACTTTCTTCTGCGAACGGGACTGGAACCCTCGACGTACCAATTACCGGTTGGGGCTCGACTCCTGTTCGCAGAGAAAAGAGTTTCGCTCGAAACCGAGTGGCGTACCAATATCATTGATGTTGCAAGTTTGAGCCAGGCTATGATTTGGCTTGCATCTAATTGTCTGTTCTCTAGAAATCATTGGGC